TCCAGCCTGGGCAACAGACTGAGACTCCATCTCAAAAAAGAAAAGAAAAAAGAAAAGCCTGTGACCTTTTCTCCACTCAGTTCAATGCTTGAGAATGCCTATTTACTATCAGTCCTTTGGATTCTCATGGGAAAAGCCCCTGCTAATTTGATAAGACAAACAGGGAATATTGTTTCAACATGATTTGAAAATTAATAGAAAGGTCGAACACTTTTTATCTTCTTAAACTTTCCCCTTTTTGTTTTTGGTCAATGAAATTTGGGGCTGTTTGCCTAATTCTCCATGAATGTCTCAGAGTTTTCCTTATTAACTTATTTAATGAGTGTATATACGCTTATTCTGCAGAGTAACTCAAATTTTGAAAATCAGACATCAGGCTGAACACTATTTAACCTGCTTTACTGGATTACTTGGGAAAATGTGGATAAAGACGTTGCTGTAGCTCATAAAGCAAATTCCATTTCTTACTGACATACACAGTGGGAGCAGAAGTGGGGGGGCTGAGGCTTAAAAGCCACCTTCAATGATGATCCAAAAGCCAAGAGTAAGTCTTTCAGAAAAGAATCACTAGAGTACAAAATGGAAAAGAAAAAGTCAAATAAGTGTCGAAAGAATGTTGGGGTGCACATTGATTCCTGTGGAGGAAGGGCTTCAATTCAACTGGGGAGACTGGCAAATCCACCGTAAATGACTACACCAGCAGAGATATTCAAAAGATCATTAATGAAGTCATTGAAATAAAGTTATAGTTACAAGCAATTAATAATCAATTACAAAAGATTATTCTTTCCAATGCTAAATGTTTAAGTAACTAAGAACCTGAAACTCCCAAGCCTGTGGGCTTCATGATTCTTGGACTTTCTGGGACAGAGGGCACCTGCATCCAGCACCTTGTAATTCTTTCTCCTTAGGGTGAGGAGTGTCTCATTATTACAGAGCCTCTGGAAAGGGGATATCACAAACCATTTTTTAAGCATCTGCTTCTTACAAAATAGAAAGGAAGATATGTGATTTTGAATTTAGAGATTTACATTACTTGAGAACAGAATGTCAATTACCAATATTCTAATGATTGGTTCAAACAAATTTCCGTTATACTATAAAAATCAGTTTTGGTTCAACAAGATCTTTAGAGATGACCAATGATAAATGGAGCCCAGGTACCAAGACAACATTCTGCATAAGGGAGACAGGAGAGTGGGGGATAGAGAATGAGAGAAAGGAAAGCCAAGGAAAGACAGTGCTTTCTGGATCATACAGGCATTTGGAGCCTAAAATATGAAAACTACTTTCTTTTATTGAGAACTTCCCATTAGAGGGATGTTACTCACTTGGAAACTCAGTCTTACAGAAGTTACCAAGCTACATGATTAATATTTAGCCCTGGATCTTAAATGCAAAATTAACTTTTTCCAAAATTCATCTTTGCCAAGATGGAGATCAAGATTCCAGTGTCCTTTCAAGTTCACTGAATGGAATTTTCAGGTATGTCTCTGTTCTGTGTCAAGGAAGTCAAAATAGATGCTATTGTCTCAGATGGCTCTGAGGACCATCCCTGGAAAATATACAATATAGTTCATTTCTCCAAAATGTCCTGGAAATAATGGCAGAAATGCAACTGAGCCCACTGCAGGGGATTATGAAGAAAATCCTAGGATAATATTAGTGACCTCTAATGAAGAAAAAGATTTCCTTCCTATAAACAATGTCTTCAGCATAGCAAAAACAAAACCAGAAAGAAAGAAAGAAAAAAACAGTCTCCTTTAGGAAGCTTCATGAGTCAATAAAGGAAGAAAGCTTCATGAGTCAATAAAGGAAGAGTTTGATGTAAATTTTTTTAAATGTTCTAAAGAATAGTACAAAATTGAGGTCACAAAGTCATTATCCAACAGTAAAAGAGAGGGCTGATGTTACAGAGAGAGACACAACTAATCTCACTTAAATTAAGACCATTAAATCAAGGACATTCAATAAATGCTGGATGTGAATTTAGGTCAGTGTAATCACCACCATCCTAACAGGCATTAAACAGGTCTGTTCTGCCTTTTCAGATTCTGCCAAATCAATCCGTTGTAAAGCAGTCAATTCCCACATGTCTGTGAGAGCTGTGGCCACAACACTGGCCTCTACAGGGACTCTAACTTCATGCTAAGAAGGACCTGGGCATTAGCAACACAATTTAACTATTCAGCTTTTTTTAATTTTTATTTTTAGATGGAGTTTTGCTCTTGTTGCCCAGGCTGGAATGCAATGGCATGATCTCAGCTCACTGCAACCTCCACCTCCCAGATTCAAGGAATTCTCCTGCCTCGGCCTCCCAAGTAGCTGGGATTATAGGCCTGCACCACCACTCCCAGCTAATTTGCATTTTTAGTAGAGACAGCGTTTCTTCATGTTGGTCAGGCTGGTCTTCAACCCCCAACCTCAGGTGATTCACCCACTTTGGCCTCCCAAAGTGCTGGGATTACAGGCATGAGCCACCGCGCATGGCCTTCGGCTTTCTTTTAAACTAGAAGAAAGTTACTGTCCCCCAGAAGAACAGTAACTGAATTTAATCAGGTATTGTAGATTTATTCAAATGACAGACAGTATATGAGCAGGTAAATTCGATGTGACTTTAGTACTTTTATTCCTTTAGTTTAGATATTTTTGATTGAGTAAAGGTTAAAGGATACAAGTACTTCCCACTGAATAGGAGCTTTTACAGTGTTATCTGCATTATGGAAACATAAAACACTTGTTCACTCTACTATTAAACAAACTCATTTGAAATCCAGACATGATCACTCTTCTGCTGTATTAAGTTTTGTTGAATTAAAGAGCAACTGAAGAGACCTACCTATAATTTTAGTATGAGGCATAACATAAGCAGTCAGAGATTAGGAATCACAAGCTTCTAGTGCTTCCTGAATAAAGTCTTCAAAATATGAATTTACTCTTTGAGATGGAATTCCCAAGACAGATATAAAAAAGTAGCTACAAACACAAACTATATGGCTTAGAATAATGCTTCTTTCATTATTTTTACTGGGAATTGGCAATGTGATACTATAATGTGTTTTGATGTCCCTGCAACATGGGGCAAAAATATTTCAAAATATTCTATGCTCATAAAGAAATAAAATAGCAAATTACCTCCTTTGGATTTTAGAAACATGACTTGCAATTCTGAATTCCTTATTGCTTGGATTTAGTCTACATTGTTTGCCCTGAATCTCTACCTCTCAAACATATGAAAGATATATTTTGAGTTGCTTCGATGGGGTTTCACCATATTGGTCAGGCTGGCCTCGAACTCCTGACCTCAGGTGATCTGCCCACCTCAGCCTCCCAAAGTGCTGGGATTACTGGCAAGAGCCACCAAGCAGAGCATTTGATACATTTTGAATTCTTTGATACATTGTAAGTTACTTCTTTGTCTGATACATTTTGAATTACTTAATCGATACATTGAGTTACTTCTTCCTCTGTTACATTTTAAGTTACTTCTTTCTCCTTTTTTCTTTTGACTGATTCTTGCTTTGCCGCCCCGGCTGGAATGCAGTGGTGCAATCTCAGCTCACTGCAACCTCTGCCTCCCAGGTTCAAGCAAGTCTTAGTTCCTCAGCCTCCTGTATAGCTAGGACTACAGGTGTGTGCCACCGCACCTGGCTAATTTGTTTTTTCTTTTTAATTTTTAGTGGAGATGGGGTTTCACCATGTTGGCCAGGCTGGTCTTGAACTCCTGACATCAAGCAATCTGCTCGCTTTGGCCTCCCAAAGTGCTGGGATTACAGTCGTGAGCCACCATGCCCAGTCTTCTTTCTGGTTTTTAATCTGGTCTCTTGTGGGAAGGTTGCCCACACTTGTCTCCCCCACTTTCTTACCTGTTATGTAAGTCAGGGACAATCTAGTATTTCTTCCAGACTTAAATATTCTACTTTCATTAATCTTGGACCTAGAAGTAAGTTTGTAGCTCCATTTTGGGGGTTTTCTTTTTTTCATGGTCTTCTTTCCATTTTCATCTTTAAATTTGCTTCTGCAAATATAAGTAAACTAGGGGTGCATTGTTCTTTATTGCTATGTTTCTCATTCTTGGACATGAGGGCATTCCCTAAGGAAATCAGTAATGATTGAAACAAATCTCAAAATACAGCTAAAAGTAAACTCAAAAAGGAATGCATTTAAAAATATTAGGCTAATTTTTAAAGGTGTCGGTAATCTAAGACAGCCAATATGATGCCTTGCCAATTTATGAATAAGAAAAACCTGATTATAACAGCTTACATTATAGCAAAATGCCCGACTACACAGGCATCAAATGAGTTTCTTATCACTTAGTCATCTCGGCTAAAACAAAATAAAACTCTTCATCACCCAACTTTTGCCCTAATTCTCTCCACACACTAGTAACCTCCCTAACAACTCACATAATTATGTTCACTGTAGAATACGCACTCCCTGTATATATTGCTCTAATTGTTTAACTATTTCTACCCAATGATCCTGGTGATAGTGTCTGGAGCATCGTAAGACTGAGCTGCCCACCTTTTCACTAAATAATTTTTCACACATTTGAAGTTGAACACAACTCATTCACTTCGTGAAAAATTCTTGTTAAAATTATTAGCGGTTATTTATTTATTTAGATGGAGTCTCGCTCTGTTGCCCAGGCTAGATCCTGTAGTGTCGTGATCTCAGCTCACTGCAACTTCTGCTTCCTGGGTTCAAGTGATTCTCCTGCCTCAGCCTCCCAAGTAGCTGGGACTACAGGCATGTGACACTACACCAGGCTAATTTTTGTATTTTTGATAGAAATGGGGTTTCATCCTGTTGGCCAAGCTGGTCTTGAAATCCTGACCTTAGGTGATTGGCTCACCTTGGCCTCCCAAAGTGCTGGGTTTACAGGCATGAGCTACCATGCCCGGCCTTGTTAGCAGTTTTGACTAGTTCTTCCTTTTCCCACACTTAGTGTTTTCCCTCTATAATGACAGAAGGATTCTTTACTGTTATCTGCCGTTACTGCCTGTGTTGAATGCAGACATCTTTGAGAGAAGGTCTAAGAATAAATTCAGGTGGCACATACATTTTACCAACGTGAAGGTCATGTAATGATCATGTAATAACTGCCACCACCTTATTTGCTGTGGTCCAGTGTCCTTTAGTATTCATGTCCCTTATGTTTTTTAAAGGTTCAATATTTATTCCAATGAATTGTGCGTTTCTTCTTCCTCATAACATGTGGACTTTTTCCAACCTGCAGGTGCAGCATGTTGCTTTCATTTCAATGTTTAATTGCTCCCTGGTGTCCACGAAGTATTCCAGTGTCTTTATTTTATTAGTCCTCAGGACTCTTCCAAATATTTTATTTATTTATTTTATCTTATTTTTTTCTTTTTATCTACCATTATCTTGACCTTGATCTTCCAAATACATTAAAAGGTTTTCCTCTCCCAAAATCAGTTGTCTAATCCGCAGCATCATCTTGTATTTGTATATTTTTGAAGCCAACCAGATGTTCTCAAGGTCGAGCCCTTTCCTCAGGTGCTGGTGGGTAACTCTGGCTGCTAGTTACATCTTACCTCAAGTCAGCAACATCTGTTGTAAATGCTATACTACCAGTGGTAAAGAAACAATATCGTCTATTAGTTCCTATCCCAAAACATCATAGTGTCAGGAAGAAAGGCAACCAATCGAAACTCTCTAAAGTTCTTTCAGAGGTTTCTTGAATTAGCTTCTGCATTTTTTCAAACAAAATTTCTGAATCTGAAAGAGTGACAGGATATTGCTCGTCATTTGTGGTTTCTTCTTCACTGGAGTGTTGAGCATTTCAGTTAGCCCTGTTAAAAGAAGACATTTGAAAATGAATTAATGTGTTGCCTATAAATGCAAATGATCATCCCAGTCCCCACATGTAAAAACCAAATGATTGGGAATAAACACCAGATCACTGTCTATACTTTCTGCTGGGCTGGGCTTGAAATAAGGTGGTTCCATGAATAGTGTACTCATTTTTTTTGGAGTGCAGTGAGAAGATACACAATATATCTTCTCATCGTTCCCTTTCCTGTTGGAAAAGAAATTAGATGAAAACAGTTGACCTCAGTCATCTGCCAACCAATTCCCAAGTGGAGCTCTGGCAAGAGGACAGGATTTGGCTATTGGTGACTTCGCCTCCTGCCTCCCCTCCAGGTTCTAGAATCCTAGTGCCCTGGGGTTCCCTTCTAAACATCTTGGGTCTGAAAGTTCTGGATTTTATATGAAATGTTCCTGCATTTAATAAAATCACAGAGGGCTGTTTATATTTAGTGTTGTCAAGTAAACATGTATTAGAAAAATAGCTAGTGTCACCATGCTTCTATGTTAACACCAAAAAATAGTATTGACATAATGTCAGGAAAAAAAAAGAACATCAAATAAAGAACTTTAAGTGGAAGATTTAAGTTTCTGAAACACTGATATTAATCCATGTTCTTATTTTTTCATTGTGACAGGGGTGGGTGAAATACTTTCTACAGCTGGAGTCCATCTACAAGATGTTTCTGGGAATTCCTATTTGTGAAGGTCCCATCCAATCCTACCAATATCCATCTC